CAGGGCTGACCCTTGTCTCTGTGACCCTGCAGGCTGGCCAGCCTCTCACCTCTTAATTCGCTATCTGCTTGGATTTGCAAAATGTGGACATTTAATTCATCAAACATGTGTCAGGTCCCCACTTGTGACTGTAGTAGTATTGCAAAAAGAACCCTGGCTGTCTCTGTCTCTGTCGTTCTCCTGAGCAGGCCCCACTTGAAGCCCACTTGGACTGGGGACTGGTCTGTGACTCTGGACAAGTTTGAGCAAGACAAAGCCCTGCAGCCACATGGCTTCTGTGGGTCCTGCCCAGTCCAAGGTTTGTCTTGTCACCCAGTCCTTGCATTTCTCTGGCTTGTGCCTGAGGCATTTGAGGGTGGCCTGGTTGCTCAATGCTCTGCTCAGTCCTGTTAGTGACGCTGCCCAAGATTGTGTCACAGAGGACCGCAAGTGGACTCAGGCCTCCACGGGTAAAAGGTTGCTCACTCACAGAGGGTGGGAGTGTGTGGACCTGGGAGAAGAGGTTAAGTTCTTCACCTTTTTTTTGTGCCAGAGACTCCTTTGGATCTGGTCGTGTCTGTTGTCCTCTTCTCAAAATAATGTGTTTAAATGCATTAAATAACATACTTAGGATTATAAAGGGTTTTCATGAATAAGGGAAAATACATCTGCAGATTATGACTGTATGAATAAAATTAGGTTATGGAAGAGTTTGTATAATAAGGGTACATTCGTGAAGACAGGAAGGAAAGAAAGAAGGAAGGGAGGGAGGGAAGAAAGGAGAGAAAGAGAGAATGAAAATGTCTTAGTTTCTTAGCGCTGCTGTAACAGAAATACTGCAAATATTTTTCTTACAATTTAGGAGACTAGAAGTCTGAATTCTGGGCACCAGCTCTGGCCCAGGCTCTCTCTCTGTCCACCATGGGGGAAACCCCTGTCTCAGCTTCTCAGTGTTCTAAGCCTTCCTTGGCATCTTCCACATGGTGTCTGTGTTTCCTGTTTTTGCTTGCTCCTCTGTGCCTATGGTGGTGTAGTGGTTAAGGCATGTTGCTGCTAACCAAAAGGCTGGTTTTTCAAATCCACCAGCTGCTCTGCTTCTGTAGATTTACAGCCTTGGAAACCCAACTGAGGTCTCTATGAGTCAGAATCAACTCAATGGCAGTGAGTTTGGTTTCTCTGTGCCTAACCTGCTTTTTTCATACCTGAAAAGTGAATAGGTTTAAGATCCACCCTACACTGATAATCTCCTCATTAACATAACAAACAAAATTCTATTTCTGTGGAATTACATCCCCAAGTATAGTGGTTAGGATTCCAACACATATTTTGTGAGGGGGACAAATTCAATTCATAACAGGAAGGAGAGAAGGAGAAAAGAAAAGAAGGAAGACAATTGTCCCTGTACATGGGGCTGGTCCCACCATTCTTCCCCATGGCTCTAAGCCATTGTCCCTATGGTGGTACCGCAATAGCCACCCTCAGATACAGCCAAATCTCCTCATTCTTGTAACTGGGTGCCTCCTTGCCAGGAAGCCAGGATTTCAGCCTATGCCTATCCCTATCACAGCCCCAATGATACTGAAAGGCCATTGTCTGAAACGCCTCCCCTATCAGACTGTGGCCATCAGAAGGCTCACTGCTCACTCTGCCATTGTAATAACAGCCTCGCAAGGCCAAATCCTGGGCAAGTCCCGCTACTCACTTTTTAGAAGCTACAGGAGCCACTGCTCCAGCTAGACAGCCACATGGCGGGACAACCTGGTTCTCTTTAAAGTCACTGCAGTCCCCTCTGCCAGGCTGATTGCTTTTTTTTCCTCAAGTGTGACACAGTCAGACCTTCTTTTTGCTGTTCCAACCTCCCACCACCAAGCTGTCAGGCATGGACCTTACATCCTATGTTATGGATTGAATTGTGCCCTCAAAACTATGTGTTGTAAATCCCGAACTTCTATGCCTGTGGTTATAATTCCATTTGGGATGGTTTGTCTTTGTTATGCTAATGAGACAGGATTAGTGTAAAGTGCATTTGAGTCAATCTCTTACAAATAAAAAAAAAATTATTGTAATTTGGGTGAAAGTTTACAGAGCAAATTCCTTTACCATACAACAGTTCATACACATTTTGTTTCGTTACATTGACTGCTATCCCCACAATGTAACAGCGACTGAGATGGGGATGCCAAACTGTGAAGAGCCTCTAGGAGCAAAAGTTCAGAAGAGACAAAGACCTTCCTCAGAGGTGACACAGAGAGAGAGCCTTCCCCTGGAGTTGGCATCCTGAATTTGAACTTCTAGCCTTCTAAATTGTGAGAAAATACATTTGTATGTTAAAGCTACCCACTTGTGGTATTTCTGTTACAGCTGCACTAGAGAACTAAGATAGAACTTCCATTACCTAGAAGAATGCCACTCAGCCACTCTGGGTTCCTCATGCCTCTAGGTCAACAGGCAAAGAAGGAAATTACCGTATTGGCTGGTGTGATGGCTCCTGATTACCAATGGGAAACTGGATTGATATTACATAATGGAGAAGGAAGCAGATGCCAGCTCTACAGACAGAAAAGCCTTCTTTGTTGATCTAGAGGCATGAGGAACCCAGAGTGGCTGAGTGGCATATATCGATATCTGTATCTGTATCTATATCTATCTATATCTATATCTATCTGGTGACATAGTGCCTCAGGCACTTGACTGCTAACCAGAGGCTGGTGGTTCCAACCGACCCAGCCATTCCTCAGAAGGAAGATTGGGCAATCTA